AGTGACTGTACCATCGAGCGTATTTTGCAGTATTAAACACGTATTTATACTGATTTCATCAGGCTCCGAAAATTCTTCAAAAAGAACACAAAGAATGGCCTTCTCAGCTGCCATAGTTGCAACTCTTGCGTCATCAGAACAGGGTGTTCAACGCACCACCGTTTCCGTTTAAAAAACGTTTTGCACCGTTTTGTCCGGGCTGAACGCAGCCCTGTAGTAACTGCAACAGACTCTGCTGCTCTCGTATTGGACTGTTTAGCCACAGCAGGCACTGCAATTCCACAACAGATTGACCCGGGCGCAGATACTCCATTGTCTCTCGAGAGGATGCCGATTTATTTATTTTTTAATAATGTTGTTTAAGACAATATACATTTAGCGCCATCCCCTGACCATTATAATGTGACGAATTCATTAAAGAATATATTATTTTTTATTTAATTCTGAGAGAACATTCCACCACGGCTGTTTTTCGTGACTTTTCCTTCTGTGAAGTTAAGTGTCGGCAACAGCAAGCAACGGTGATAGCTCATTTAAAGGTAATGCCAGCGCTAGATTGGACTAATTTGGACAGTCACGGTAAATGGAGTCGATGAGTCGATTCCATCGACTCTAATAGTGGGAGTCGGGAGTCGGGAGTCGGAGTCGACTCCGAAAAACCTGGAACCGAATACCCCTAAGCTCGTCACTCTGGAAGAACAATTGTCATGTTAACCGCATGATGTCGCTCTCCCTTTAAATACATATTATCTCCACCACACAGTTTGCTGGCCATCAGATTCTGTTCCCGCCATGCTTCACATGGAGGTTCTAATAATTTTTTTATCTTAATAAACACACACGTATGACGCTGGCATCACACTAGCAAGTGGAATTCGGTGTGGAAATTATACGGACCGCTACATTAAGATTGCTAGCAGCAGCATTACTATGTCAAAAATGTATATAGATAAATAGAAGGTAATAGAAGAAACAAACTTAAGTAACTTTAAGACTTAAATACAAAACTTGAAGAGTATTAATGTTGCAGCAGAGATCAGGTTTATGAGGAGCAGGGGTGCCATAATGTGGGAAGTTTAAGACAATTCCAAGGGCCCTGATCAAAGGGAACAGGCTCCTCATTTGTATTTGAGCATTTGATTTATAATTTGCGATGCCCGTTTGAGCATTTGATTTATGATTTGAGCATTGGATTATAGATTTAATTATGACAGGCTTATACTGGGTTGATAATGAAAATTAAATATCAAATACAAATTATTTTTTATTTGATTTTTGAAACATGCTTTCCCTAATGAGGAAATTAAATTGCATTTGAGCATTGGATTTCTCATTTGAGAAGCCATTTTGAGAGTTTGATTTATTATTTGATCATTTAAGCATTTGAATTTGTATTTTAATTTTGTTAGGGAAAAAAACTTACATGCTATCTATGGATTTTGTTTTGTATTTATTATTTTTGTTAGTTGCAATGGTAGGCTAATACAGTGCAAAAATAGCTAACCCTTCTTAACCCTATACTATCTATCTATCTATCTATCTATCAGAGGGGCATATTTACATTTTGAGATAAAAAGGGGCAGTGTATATGTTCAAGAATGAAAGTGTATGATAAAGTGTATGATTTGGTAAAGGTGAAGATATGAAACTACTTAAAATTAAACTTCGTAGTAAGACTGCTGATATAACAATTGAATTATTTATAGGGGCGGTAATTACAAAGACAAAGCAGCTGGTTTTACTGTGAAGTTACTGAGTGGGTTTCAAACATCTGATTGTGTAATAGCATGTATTCCGAGGCAGTTACGATAATGACTTAAACGCTTGTTAAATTAACACTGAATTCAACAAAATACACAAATAACATGCAAACTGACATACTAGTAAAAAGTCAGGGAATTTGTACTGACCAGCCTGCAGCCCTTATTACTACTCAAATTAATAATTATTACTCGGATTCTCCAATAGCCTGGAGTAGATGTTGGTCCATGAAAAGACGTCAGATGGCCTATTATTTCCAAGCATTTATTGTCACCCGAGCAAGATGATGCATGATAAACAGTACAACCGTGATCTTAATTTAATATTGTATTACATTGTATTCAAATCTATTTCTGCTAATAATCCCAGATACATGCTTATTCTTAATATTTCCTGTACAATTATACACACAGCCTTCAGAAAAAAAACATTGCAATTTTTTATTGTTGAATATGAATATAATTTGATCAAAAAAAATGTTTGAACTTTTTTTTTTTGCATCTGACATTTTAATTCATTACCTAATTCTACAAAATTCAATCGTATGGCCAACATTGATTCCAATGTAAAAATAAAAATGTTTCATGCAGACAGGCAGTGGGACAATCATGTCTACACGTTCTTTTAATCATCTTGGCTCTTCTTCTAATCGACTTGGTTCTTCTTTGTGAATAACTTCAGGAAAAAATAATACACAACATGAATTATTTTACCTAAATGTATTTGTTTAGATAGTAATAAGTTGAGAGAGAGAGAGAGAGAGAGAGAGAGAGTTTTAAATGTTTAAATTGCCTGCTTTAGTCTTTCAAATCCTAAGATGAATGGCTCCTCCACAGGTGTGTCATCACCGGATCCTGACAGCTCCATGTCCACTGGTGGCTAATAATTAAAGCAGAGAAATCAAACACGGTGTTCTGCTTTAAAACTTGGAACACAATAGCCTGGATCAAACATTTACTAGAAATACTCAAAAAACCTTGAAATAAATGATCTAAAGTGTATGACATTATCTGACATGGCTGGACACAGTAGGACGTCACCTCATTAACCCTGAAATCCACCCCTGGGTTCACTCTATCAGCTTCAGATGCTGCTATTAGTGGGAACCCAAAACTCTTGAGAGGAAAAAAAGAGCAAGAAAGAAATGTCTTAAACATAAACATGTTTAATAAGGAACATTATACTGAGTTCATTTTCATAAACAGTTGTCATGCTATAAAATGTAGTATTGCTATTTTACTATATTTATTACTAATATAGTAATATTAATATTGCAAGTAAAGTTGTCGTCTCACCCATGGATCATTGGACTTCTTATCTGTCAAGACTCCTTGTATAAAGATGAAAATAAGGAAAATTTTGCCTCCAGTCAAATGTAGAGTTGATTTTTGCTTCATTGCAGCAGGATAACTAGAGCCTAAACTCTAGAGCTATCTGCTTCTACTAAGAGCGAGGAGGAAGTTACACAGCAATATTTATATTGAACCCTTGTTAGAAAGTCATGTGCATTTGCAATAATGACAAAATGTGCATGTTCCTGATAAGAAATATGTTGCAAATGAAAAAAAAAAAAACTTTGGTATGACACTTCCGTTTAAATGAAATGATCACTGTATATTCTTTATGTATTCTCAAGCACAACTTCATGGTTTGCATTAGTTGGAGACAGTATATGCATGGAACAGGGTATTGGAAGGAAATTTCAACTTATTTTTATTCTCACTTGTAAATGAACAATAAACACTGCTGAATTACATTAGTAATCAAATCTTGTATTATATCAAAAAGGTTGTATCATCTCATATATTGTGACTGAAGAATGTTTATGATAGGGACAGGCAGTGCCATCTTTATTAAGTATTGTTCATCTTTAATCCTGTTGTTTCATCTTGAGCTTCAGTACATTTCACCAAACCCACACTACAAAAGCATCACAGAATAAAACCCAGTAAACCTTGAGAATATTGTGACATTCGAATAAAAAATATATGGATTGTATATATAAAACTATTGAACAATTTCTTAAATATTTTTTCTAATTTCATTTAACAGATCTGGACTGCAGGCAGTCTGGTCTAGCACATTCGCTATGTGTCAATGAAACCACGCTGTTGTAGCACATGCAGAATGAGACCTGGCATTGTCTTGATCTAATAACCATGCACTTCCCATGAAATATG